TGAAATATTTAACAATAAGTTGCAGACATCATGCTACTTCATCCCTAAACATTCCAACATATGTAACTTCTAAGAACAAGGACATTCTCCTGTATAGTCATAATGCCGTGGTCATACCCAAGAAATTTAACAGTGATACAATACTGTTATCTACCTTATAAACATTTTACATTTAAATTTTCCCAGAATATCCTGCATAGCTGTTTTTTTGTTTTTAATCCACAATTCAATCAAGTACCATGCATTGCACAAATATACTGTTTTTCAAGTTAGCAAATGAGAGAAGTACATGAGGTGCAGTAATTCCCTTCTACAGAAGCAACGTGAAGGGTGACGTTACTGTGATCAACGTGCATCCCTTCCGTGGAGTTAACTACAAGCACCTGTGTTTCTACCTATGTAGAACGGCATCCGTTTTTTAAATTGAGGGATCATGCACGTGCAATAAAGTACGTAAGGTGCACCATGATTTTTTACATATGTATAAATTGTGTAACCAACACCCAGATCGTTACAGAGACCATTTCCAGTACCCCGTAAGTTTCCATTGTGCCCCTTCCTAGTCTGTACTCTCGCCCTAGGTAGCCGCTAGGATAACTTCAGGCCATCATCAGTGATGCCTGTTACTGATTTCATATAAATAGAATCATGTCTTAAGTAGTTTTTTAGATCTACTTTTTTTTTCACTCAACCTAGTATCTATGAGATTTATCCATGTTGTTAAGTGTACCAGTGGGTCATTCTTCTTTTCTAATTGCTACGTTGTGTTCCATTTTATATACTACAATGTACTTATTTATTCTCCTGTTGACGGGCACTTGAGTTATTATCCATATTCATCTATTATGAACAAAGTTGCTGTAAACATTCTTGTATGTAACTTTTTGTGGATGGATGCACTCATTTCTCTCATACATACCCAGGAGTGGAATTGATGGTACACAGGGCAGGTAAATGTTTAGTGTATACTGCCAAATAATTTTCCAAATTGGATGTGCCATTTTCTATTCCTTCCAGCCATATGGGAGCTCCAATTATACCACATCCGAGCCAAATCTTGGCCTTCTCAGTCTCTTTTAATTTTTGTCGTTCTAGTGGGTGTGTAGAAGTACCTCAAACAAACAAAAAAACCGAATCTGTTGCCGTCGAGTCGATTCTGACTCCGATAGGACAGAGTAGAACTACCCTGTAGCGCGTCCAAGGAGCAGGTGGTGGATTCAAACCACCGACCTCTGGTAGCAGACGAGCTCTTAATCACTGCACCACCAGGGCTCGAGAGGTACCTCTTTGGGGTTTTAATCTGTGCGCTTCCCTGATGAATAATGAAGTTGAGCTCTCCTTCGTAGACTTATTTGATAGCTTCTTTAGTGAAGTGCCTGTTCAACTGGTTTACTTATTTTAAAATTGGATTGTTTGTATTTTTCTTATTGATTTGAAGGGGTATTTATATACTGGATATGAGTCCCTCTCAGATAAAACAGAAAGTTCACTGAAAGTCTCTCTCAGTAAAAAAACAGAAAGGCTTTTAATTGAAATGATATTATGTGGTAGCATAGAATGTCTGACTTGTCCATTTTCTAAAAAGGGTAAGAATCCAGTGTTAGTCTGGATAGTTATTCTTTTTTTTTTTTAGTAACTAAAACAGAGGAAATATTTCAACAAGTAGAATGATAGTGCCATGAGTGTTTGTATTTATCTGCTTTACACAAATAGTCTCTCTTTCCTGTACAAAGCAACTGAAGCTTTATATAGCTGCCCCCTCCTCCCCTCCCTTTTTTTTTTTTTAAGATAAGCAGCAGGATCTCCTGGGAACTGAATGATAATTTCATTTTGTGGTAGTCATGACACGGCTGACATCACACATCAGGAGATGCGGAGAGGCAGAGAACCCATTCTTTTCCTTTCCCAAAGCCCTCCCAGAACATAGACCAGAATGACAGATTCCCTCCATCTAGTCAGAATGGTTAACTTATTGCTAAAGGGGCAGTTGGCACTAAACCAAACTGAAAACTTTTTAAGTGAGGATTTTCCTAAGGGCCACGTTGTTGTGGGTAGCATCTCTCTGGTGTTATAGACCATTTTCACACAACCTAGTGATGCCTGCACACAAGGTATACTTGACATTGATATTGAGATGAAATCTGATTGGACCAGGGATGGAAACAACTGCAGCTCACATGCCACCATTTTGTTTTCCATGCCCATGGTAGACCCTGTTGTTGGACCATGATGGTTTGCCAGTGAGTCCAGCCTCAGCAGCCCCTCCTACTCACTCTGAGTTGGCACTTGACATAGAATCGATTTGTCATTCCTGAGTTAGACTGGACACAATCGGCAGGCTTGGGAAGGGAAAATAAACCACAGATATGCACAAGAGGGAATGTGGAGCAGCCATAATATTTTCCTTCGGTAATGGCCCACCGAGCGGTTAATGGGCTGATAATATATATATGTATATACTTGATTTTTAATTTTTTTTTTAAGTTCCAGCTAGGATGGCAGTCCCCTTCTCCCCTAGATGCTGCTTTCCTGAGCAATCTGACCAAACAAAAGTGGGTCACCTGCTTCCACACTGGCCAAATCTAGGCTATTTACTAAGCCCTATACGCATCTATAGAATAGTTTTAGAAAACATTGTTACACATTATTATTTCTACTCTTATATTGGCCATTTCTTCATATCTTCTTTACTCAGTTTTATCTACCCATTAGCACACAATGTGATTTTAATTGCAACCTTTTTTCCCACAACTTTATTTAACCCCTGGTGATATAAAGGTGCGATAGCCACGTATATATGTGGGACATGTGGCAATTTATAGTTGATAGAGTGTTTTCTTATACATTTAATATATACATTATGTATTTATATATGCACACTTTATACATTTTCTAAACTGAATTTAATACCTGTTACTATCCTGTAAGATAGAATTATCTCCTTCTTACGAAAGAGAAAACTGAGACTCAGAAAAATTGAACATTTTTTTCCAAGGACATTACAACTAATAAGTGGTCAACATGAGTCTCAAACCCAAGTTCTAGGTTTGACCCCAAGTCATCCCATATCTCCAGGCTTCCTACATACTGACGTTCCATGCAGTGACCAAGGAGGCATGCAGGTCCAGGTGCCGGCCAGATCCCTCAAGACCCCCAAACTTCATTCCACCAGGAAAGAAAACAAAGAGAAGCGCCTTGTTCCCTCCATTGCACATTCCTGCAGAGCCTTCAGCTTTCTCATTCCTTGCTCTAAGTGACAAGTGGCTAAGTGCTCTTGAGTTTCTTCCTCATTTATCACGATGCTAGTGATACCCATTCAATACCATTTTCCAGGAATACATAGAGTGTGAAAGAGTAGCTGTTGATTGTGCTGGAAACTCAAAGCATTGAAGACATTCATATGTGGCTGTCTCTCAAGATATTTGATAATAAAACTTTCAAATTGTTGAGCACATTAGAACTTACAGAGTTCTGTCCACATTATTGCACTTAAATGTGCTAGAAATGTCTGAGATGGTCACTATTTCCTTTATTTGACTGCTGGGGACCTTGTGCTCAGAAAGGGTAAGTGGCTTGCCCAAGTTTGAGCAGTACGGAAGCAGAAGATCTAGAACCTGAATGAGGTCTTCTAAGAGTCAACAATTTCAGCAGCCAAACCAGAGTGTTAGAAGCGAAGGCAGATTTGGGACGGGGCCACCTTTTAAATACATTCACATTCAGTGAGTCAATTGGTCAGTAGACTATATTGTGAGAAGTAGTAGTAAAAAAAGAAACCTTACTACATTTTTGGCTTTAGAATATTTGTCTCTTTCATCTATTCTGACAAACTCTCAAAAATCGAAATTTCCTAAAAACAAAAAACCCTTCCAACCAAACATCAATGATTATCCATTTTTCTATTTTTCTTCTCCCCTGAAAGAAACCAGTTATATTTTTCAAACTAAATGAAGACAAAAATATATGAACCATATTCTAAAGTTATGGTAGCATCTAGTTCCAGATGGAAGACATGCTAACAGTTCTTACACATCACCAAGGGGTGAGACTTTTATGGCTAGATGGTTCCTTGTGGTTCCTGGTGCTGCGAACCATGTGACCTAAGAGAGATGCAGGCTTAGGGAAATTATAGCAGGGAAGGGTCTGAGTGGGGGCTAATTAGAGAATGAGAAGGATTTGTCACTTTTTTCAGTGAAGTGTGATGGCAGCTAGCATTTGGCAGTTTGGGGAATAATCTTTCCCTTGATTTTAATGAACATCTACTATGTGCTCAATACCATGAGCAAATGAAAGTATCTGGTGATGTCATTGCCACAGAGGAGAAAAGATGACCTCACTTAAGACAACTGAAGAACTTTATAATGTAGCATATAATAAAGTTCCAGAATACATGGCACAACCCATAAGAAAAGAAGGCAGTGATCCCCAGGAGATGAGGATGGGCTGGTGCAGTTTGGAAAGGCTTCACAAATGAGTTGGGCTAAGCTGAGCCCTGAAGGATGTGGAGAGTCCTTGGGTGGCACAAATGGTTTGTACTTGACTACTAACCTAAAGATTGGTGGTTTGAACCCACCCAGTGGTGCCACAGAAGAGAGACTTGGTGATCTGCTTCCATAAGATTATAGCCAAGAAAACCCTATGGAGCAGTTCTACTATATAACACATAGGTTTGCCATGAGTCTGAATTGACTCGATGGTAATAGGCCTTTTTTTTTTTTTTTGAAGGATGCAGAAAGTTCAAGGAGAGAAAGAGCAGTGGGGTAGCATTGGCAAGGGGAATTTCAGACAGCGGGGACAGCTAGAGCAAACGGCCAGATGTAGAAATTAGAAGGGCACCTCAAGAAGTCACCCATTAGAGAGGATTATGTTGGAACAGCAGGAGATGATGTCATGAAACATTTTTAAAGCCGACTCTAAGAAACTACAGAATCACTCCATTGAGGAAGAAAATGTAGTTTACAAAGAGCCTCCACCCATGTCAGCTCTTTTTGTTGTCGTTTCAGGGGAGTGTGTTCAACACCTGGAAGCCCATGTGGGTTGTATTATTAGAAGATGGAATTGAATTCTATAAGAAGAAAAGTGACAACAGCCCCAAAGGAATGATCCCCCTGAAGGGAAGCACTCTGACTAGCCCTTGTCAGGACTTCGGCAAAAGAATGGTGAGTTGGCATCACTAGCCACAGGGAACACCTTGGCAAGCGCTGACGTGACAAGGGCACAGCCTGCAGTGTGAATGGTGCTCCTTGGACCAGTCGTTCCCACCACACTCTGCCCTGGGCTTTGGATCTGGAACCAGAGAACCAAGCACTTCCAGAACAAGGTTGGGGCAACTGGTCTGCTTTATAAGGGGCCTCAGCCCCTTGGAAGGCATCATTCCTAATGGGTGTGTTTTGATTTTTAGTTTGTGTTTAAGATCACTACGACCAAACAGCAGGACCACTTCTTCCAGGCAGCCTTCCTGGAGGAGAGAGATGCCTGGGTTCGGGACACCAAGAAAGCCATTAAATGTATTGAAGGAGGCCAGAAGTTTGTGAGGAAATCCACCAGGAGGTCCATTCGACTACCAGAAACCATTGACTTAAGGTGATTTTCTGTTTCCTTCTCTCTGTCCATTCCCTTTTCTCCTTTGAGGAAATCTCACAGCAGGTCCTGCTCCAAGGCTTGCTTTGACCACTTCTGTCAGCTGTACTCACTCTTCCCGGCTGATACTGGCAGTTACCTTAGTAACTGGCAGTACTAAGATGTTTACCTGGGTCTACAGGAGTAAATGTGGCTTCTCTATGGCCTAACTGCTGCAAAGAGGCTAATGGAGTATAAATTCCCTTGTTCTGGGCAACTTGAGCAACTCAGGAAACCTGGTGGCAGAGTGGTTAAGTGCTATGGCTGCTAACTGAAAAGGTCAGCAGTTCAAATCCCCCAGGCACTCCTTGGAAACTCTATGGGGCAGTTCTACTCTGTCCTATAGGGTCACTATGAGTCAGAATTGACTTGATGACAATGGCTTTGGCTTTTTTTGGGGAGGGGGGGCAACTTATATCGCATTTATGAATCAACCATAAAAAGTTAGTCTGCAAAGCAAGTTCCAGGATCTCTACACAGTGAGGAAAAGGCAGGTGCTGCGTGTCCAAGCAAACAAAGTTTCAAGTTCAAGCATTCACCCAGTCAGCAAGGGCCCACTGGGTCAACAATGATCGTAGGCGGAGTCTGTTTGAGTCCTGACCTAGTTTAATGGCCCCTGGCTTTGGCTGGGAGCCCTGGTCGTGCAGTACTTAAGAGCTCGGCTGCTAACCAAAAGGTTGGCAGTTCGAGTCCACCAGCTGTTTCCTTGGAAATCCTAGGAGACAGTTCTACTCTGTCCTGTAAGGTCTCTATGAATCAGAGTTGACTCTACAGCAGTGCGTTTGGTTTAGTTTTTGGTGTTGGCTGTCTTGGAGTCGCAGGTAAGAGTTGCAGCCTAAAGGTAATCAGAGGCAAATAGGTAAACTCAGCGTCTGACAGGGGCTGGGAACAGGGCCCCTTCCTCCCTGCATTTTTCATATCTTGCATCTTCTCCTGTCAGTGAACCCCTTTTTCTAGGAGCCTCTTTTCTTCCTGTTAGTTTTGCTTTTCTGTCAAGCATACCCGGAAACAGCAGCCTTGTCAGGAAGAAGCCCATGCTGGCTGCTTCAAAGGTCCAGCAGGGATTCTGTTTACTTGGTGGGGGGTGGTCCCTGAGAGGGGACTGAAGACACCCCTCCCATAAGCCTAACGCAGGGTATGGTATATTTCGGGAATTTGATAAATTTTGAGAACTGAACTTAGCGAGATTGAGCAACTTCCCTCACCATGGAGGTTTCTTGGTGAAGAACCAAGACTAGGCGGCACCTAGTCCAGCTGCATCTGCTGGCTGGCAGCATTCCTGGCCACAGCTGTCAGGGCTAAGTGGAACGATGCTCTGGCTACGTGGAACCACAGGATACATGGAAGTGGCATGCTTTTATTGCTTGGGAATGTGTGGATAAAGCTATTTTTGGTTTATCATTTCACGGACAAAAATTTTGCCTTAGCCCTTATTATGTTTAGAGTAAGAGGTAAGCTCAGTCAAAACGTTCACCTTGGAGGCAAATGTCTACACCTTCAAATGTCTACACTTGAAGACCCTTAAAGAACTGGGACATGAGGATTGAGGGCCCTGAAGGATCCAGAACATGAGAATGTCAGGCTCTGACTGGGTATGGAAAATTGGCCCCAAGAACATTTAATATTTGGCACCTAACTGGGGACAACTCTCCTCAGACAACAGGAATTAAGTGACCAAAAAGCTTAATAAATTCAAGATACACGCAGTACCTTCCTAGTGCATTTTGCTAAGTGCTGTGCAGACCGCAGAGTTACGGCATATGAACTCCGTTCGTCCTTTAACGACTTACGATGTGGTGGGGAGATTAGGCTCAGGGTCACCTGGGGAGGCGGGAGCTTGTGCTCCTAGCCGGCCTCTCCCAGGTGACGACTCCCAGAGAGGACAAGCCCTTCTGAAATGCTCTCCATTCACCTGTCTGTTTTCATCTCTGTGCAGTGCCTTGTATTTGTCCATGAAAGATGCTGAAAAAGGAGTAAAAGAACTGAAGCTTGAGAAGGACAAGAAGATTTTCAATCACTGTTTCACAGGTAAAAGACCTTGCAAGCATGGAATGGGCAGCTGGGGAAGGTGATACGGAGCTCTGCCTGGGCCTTGTGTGTGAGGAAGGGGGCGTGGGGCACGATGGGGGGACAGGGTCACAGTCTGCAGACTGGTGGATGTGAGAATTAAAATTCCCTCGGTGTGGAAACAGACAGAAGGGTAGCAATGAACTTTGTTGTTCAAGATAAAGTTTTAGAAGTTCCAGATATAGCATTCAAAGGGTCATTTTTTTCAATAAATGGTATTATGGTAAGAATTGCTGGCAGCAGACACAGAGTTGAGTAAGATGTGATCCTTACTACTATAAACAAAGGTTACGACATAACATGTAAGACTTAAATAACAATATTAGGGACGTCACATGGCTGCACAGGGTCAGGCATTAAATATTATGTGCTTAGGCAGTATGGTATAGTGGTTAAAAACATGGTCTTTGAAGCCAGACCGCCTGGGTTCAAATCCTGGCTCTTCAATTTGCTCGGTATAAAACCTTGGGTCAATTACTTAACCTTTCTTTGCTTTGCTTGTTTGTAAGATGGGGATAATCATAGTGCACCTACCTTATCGGCTTACTGCAACGTGCTTAGAACAGTGCCTGGTGGGTAGTAAGTAAGTGTGATATGGCGCAAACACGCAATGTTTTTGTTATGACTAAAGATGCCGTATGTCTGCACAGTCAGTTCTGTGAGTTCAGAAAAAAGGATGGAAAAGGAGTGGTGCTTAGATGGACAGAATGTCATTAAATATTTGTAAAGAAGATTTCTGATAAGGAGGCAGGGCAAGGATGGTGAGGCCAAAGTTGTGGAGGCAGAGAAGGGCAGGATGTGTGTCCAGGTAAAGCAATCAGCCAGCCTGGTAGGACTGATGTTTCATTAAAACAACAGTGGCCGTTAAGTCGATTCCGACTCATGATGACCCCTTGTGTGTCAGAATAGAACTGTGCTCCATAGTGTTTTCAAAGGATGAGTTTTCAGAAGTAGGTCATCAGGCCTTTCTTCCTAGGCACCTCTGGGTGGACTCAAACTGACAACCTTTCTGTTAGCAGATGAGCACTTTCACCATTTGGGCCACTTAGGGACTCTGTGGTTCATTAAGGGGCAGAATGGGAGGTAAAATTTGGGACCAGTCTTGTTAGAAGCCAGACAGGGCTTACTTAGGTTGGTAAGAGAGGTAAAGGGAGAAAACTCTGAGAGGGATACAACAGATACAGAATGTGAAGACATTCAGTCAATAGATAATCCATGAAAATGGTCCAGTCAGGGTCAGGAAGGTGAAGGGGCAAAGAGCATGATACGGGGTAACAGAGTAGCACCCCATGAGATTTCAGCCTCAGAGAGTTAAGGCAGCAGCCAGTTAGTATCAGGAAAGTCTGGACTGAGATTTAGGATTAAAATACCAAGCTATGGGCAGTGGTAAGGGAAACTGGCGAGAGCAAGGCAGGACCCCAACACCAGGACAGAGCCTCAGGCAAAAGGAAGGCCAAAGGAGGAAGTTTGAATGTGTAGTCCCAGGGTATTGGGTGAGAATTTCTTAAGTCCTTTCCATTGAATGGCAGGGTGGGTCCTAGAAATTCAGGTGCTGTGGAGCTTTCTTGTGAAAGTCAGGTGGTCTCAGCAGGGAGATGAAGTCTGCGGCAGAGACTGGGCCCCAGGCAGTGTTGACACAGGACAGAGGACCTGGAGTGTCAGGTAACAGGGAGACTAGGCTGAACCTGTCTCTCAAGCTTCAGCATGTCTAATTGCATAAGCGTGGAATCCAGGGTTAAGGCCTGTTGTAGGTGTCACTTATGGCCTAATGTCACTTAAACTCTGTAAGACTTAATTTTCTCATCCTTAAAATGAGGTCTGTAACTACTGCCCTACCTCGTTTACAGGGTTGTTGTAAGAAATAAAAGCTGTAATGCAGTGTCCATGAGTTATCGTGATAGAGAAAGATAAGTGCACAAAAGCTTTCCACAGGTGAAATTCATGGAAGACTCACCAACCAATTGCTCTCAGCATGTTTTGAGGCTGGTAATAACCTTACTGCTCTTGCCTGGATGACCCAGGGCTCGCTGGCTAGTATGTTGTTGGCTTCCCCATGGGCTACATTTCTAAGGAACACACCCTTTTTCATACAGAGCCTAATGGGAGCCTGCTATAATTCAGTCGATGGGTCAGCTTCATTTCATTCTCTTCACGGTCCCATCTCGAGGCAGAAGGTCAATTAAATGACTTCTCAAGTCCCCATTAGACCTGCGAAGGTGTGATGATGACTCCAAATGATGGCCTCCAATTTTAATTTAGGACACATATGATATGTCAGGAGTCCCCAGGTGGTGCAAACCGTTTACACGCTCAGCTGGTTACCAAAAGGTAGGCGGTTTGAGTCCAGCCTGAGGCTCCTCAGAAGAAAGGCCTGGTGATCTACCTCCAAAAAATCAGCACAGTTCTATTCTGACACACGTGGGGTCGCCATGAGTCAGAATCAACTCGATGGCAACTCTTTTTTATGATTATGTGACTTCTCTGCTTAAAAACTTGCCATGGCTCCTCATTGCCACATTTCTTAATGTGCCATTGGAGCTCTCCCCACCCAACCCTGTGCCTTCCTCCCCCTCTTGTCCCCTTTTGCCTTCTTTCCACCGACTCTGCCTCCTCTCCCATGGGGCTGCTTCATGCCCCCGTGCATCTGTTCATGATGCTGCTCCGTCAGCCTGTGCTGGTTCTTCACAGCCTCTGCTTCATCTACTTGGCAACCACCTACTCAGTTTTTAAGCCTCAGCCCAGTGTCACTTCCTCTATGAATTTCTTCCTGACAGGGGACGCACAACGTCCCATCTCACCACTGCCGCTATCAATGCCTCCCTGCAGGTTTGACCCAGCAGCTCCACTGTATCCATCTAGAGTAGAGCAATTGTTGGAACACTTCCTTCTTTATCACCCGTCTCTCCCTGTTAGATTCCTTAAGTGCGGTATCCCGAAACCCATCACAGTACCTAGCCCCTAGTAGATGCTCAGTATATCTTTGTTCATTCGTGGAAGAATTGAATGGGTTAGTACAAACTATTTCTTTGATGCATGCATTGCCTCCTTAAGCGGTATGTAAAATCAATTGCCGTCGAGTTGCCTCCGATTCATGGTGACCCCATGTATGTCAGAGTAGAACAGTGCTCCATAGGATTTCAATGGCTGGTTTTTCAAAAGTAGATTGTCAGGCCTTTCTTCTGAAGCATCTTTGGGTGGACTTGAATTGCCAACCTATGGTTACTAGGCAAGCACATTAACTGCTTACACCACCCAGGGACTCCGTAAGTGGCATGTAGATGCTTAGAAAACCCTTTACATGGTTGCTCTTTTTTGCAGGTAGCTAGCTCACTGATTTCCCTCTTTCCTTCTTGGAATAATAGGGAAGATGAGGCAAGTGAGACGATTGGGTGCCCTGGAGCCAGTTGAGGGGTGATTGTCAGGGTCTTGCTCTTTGCTAAGGAGAATTAACCTTCCTTCTGATGGTCCCATCCAGGTACCTGTGTCATTGACTGGCTGGTATCCAACCAGTCTGTTCGGAATCGCCAGGAAGGTCTCATGATTGCCTCCTCACTGCTCAATGAAGGGTACCTGCAGCCCGCTGGAGACCTGTCCAAGACTGCGGTGGATGGCACCTCTGAAAACCCTTTCCTGGACAACCCTGATGCTTTCTACTACTTTGTAAGTGAGAAAAGCTACCCATGTGTTCTTGGTGTCATGGGGCTGCCTGGGCAGATGCTAGATTGATTTCCGTTCTTATCCACATACACGCGAAAGAAAGGGCCTACAGAGAGCGGTTACAGATGGCAAGGAGTCAAGAGATTGCCCAGGGAGGTAAAGGAAATGCCTGAAACCTCAAGGCCCATTCGGAGCTTCAATTACACCAATGCTTCGCAGACATAGCAGCTGTCCCCTTCCACAGTGCCTGCCACGTTTAAACGAATTAGTTTAAAGGAAATTATTATTTACTCTATGTTATCTTTAAATTGGCTTACTTATTAAACTGGAATGTATCTATTCTTGTCCTATGCAATAATTCATTTATAAAACTTTACTAGGCCCTAGTTACATGCCAAAAGAGCGCTGGTGGTGAAGCACCTGGCTGCTAACCGAAAGGTTGGTGGGTCAAACCCACCCAGCAGCTCCATGGGGGAAAGACCTGGCCATCTGCTCCCATAAAGATTATAACCTAGGAAACCCCATGGGGCAATTCTTCTCTGTCCTATAGAGTTGCTATGAGTCAGGATCAACTCAATAGCACCCAACAACAACACAACAGTCCACGCCATGCACTTTCCTAGGCAAAGGAGATAAGAGCAGTGGAAATAAAACAAACAAGCAAAAAACCCCAAAACAAAACAGCAAAAGCCCAGGCCCCCACAGAGCTTCCTCTCTAGAGGAGGATCCATAAAATCTCAAGTGTGATGTGCTAGTTGTATTTCCCCAAATATACATAAAAATACACAACTATTAATACAAAAATTTTCATCCGAGTTACTTCCTCCCATCATCTGTGTTCCTCCCATGGTATGCTTACTTGTGGTTGGGAAACACTGAGTTACACAATACGGATCTAATCTTGGGCTACATGAGAAATCCCACAGCAGTAGCTATCTCAGGGGATTTTGCTAGTTTTGTTTCTATTCTGGATCAGAGGATAGAAATTAGGAAGCTGCTTAATCTAAGAGAACCAGCCTTCCTACCACAAAGAAGTGAATATCCCCCAGAGACTTTCATTTCTCATTTGGGGGAAGTTTTACTAACAGTATTATTGTTGTTTTGTTAGACCTTCCGTCTGGTCTTATATAGCCATTTAAATGAAGATCCTAAAAATAGCCCTCACAGTGGTTCCTCTTCAATAGCTACCTGTTACCCATTGCCAGCAAGTTGATTCCAACTCACAGCGACCCAGTAGGACAGAGTAGAACTGCCCCATACGGTTTCTAAGGAGCAGCTGGTGGATTCAAACTGCTGACCTTTCAGTTAGCGGCGATAGCACTTAACCACTGTGCCACCAGCGTCCCCTTCTATAGCTAGGTGGTCTCGATTGCCTCCTGATCTCAGAGGACGAGGATGGACAGCTGCTCTCAGTCTTCTCAAAGCAGGAGAAGGGGCGAAATGTGGCAATAGAGATGGAATTACATCGTGTCTTATGGATTAGTTCCCTCTGTTCTCAAGGATCCAGACATGAGGTCCTAAGAGGAAGAAAGCTTTGAGAGTGGAAATAGGCACCACCAGGAGGATTGAGCTAGAGTTAGAGCATAGCTTGAGAAACCCAAGAAAATGAAGGGATGTTGATGAGATCACACCTGAGAGAAGAGAGGAGTGGAGCAGCATGTAAAAATAAAAAGGAAGGGGAAACTTGCTAACCAAAGATAACCCTTAACATTCAGATTGGGCTATGCAAAAGCGGGGGAAAGAAAAGGAGGAGTCGAACATGGTGGCTGGAGGGGAGGGTGAGGGGGAGTTTGTACATGTAGCAATACACCCGAGACTGGTAAAGTGAACTTGCTGTTTGGTTTCCCAATAGCCAGACAGTGGGTTTTTCTGTGAAGAGAATTCCAGTGATGATGACGTGATTCTCAAAGAAGAATTCAGAGGGATCATTATCAAGCAGGGATGTTTACTCAAGCAGGTGAGTGACCACCACTATTCCCTTCTAGCCTTTCTCCCTTATCATGTCCTTTTTATTTCTAAATGACCAAATGGTATTTAGTTGTTTAACCAACGTTGTGTTATTAGTTGCCGTAGAATCAGCTCCCACTCATGGCGACCTTATACGTAACAGAACCAATTTAACCAACAGTCAACTGGAACGTGAGACCCACAGAGTGAAAGATAGGAAAATAGAGAAGCAGATGATCAAAGTGGCATTAGGTCAGGAGGACTGAGACAGGCAGAAAAATAAGAAAACTCCCCTTTTATCAATATCATAGGAAAAAGAGGAGTTTCAAGAAAGCTATTGCCCTTCTCATTAGCTGGAGGAAATAAACTGGTTAAGAGATGCCATCCAAAAGACAGATGTTTGATGGTAAATGTACTTCCGTTTTTTGCCCGTCCCGCCTTCCTGTAAAATAACCAGGAAACAGGAATAGGCAACACACAAAAGAGAAAAGCTGTATACCATTGACAGCAAGGAAGTGACATTGCAGATTGTGAGTAGGGTGCGGCAAGACCCAAACCAGGTATGCCTGAGGCCAACTCTGCGGGAATAGCAGGCAAAGGTCAAGTCCAGTCTGAGGGCATGGGCATCATCCTGGGCGGAAGTCAAGGGCAATAGCCAGGTGTCCGCAGGTACATGTTACTGTCAGTCTGGGAGGCAAGGGCTGGGGTGAGCTGAAAGCTTGAGTCAGTTACCAGGTGCCAAGGCATGCAATGCCAAGAGGTAAGGGAATACAAAGGCTGGAAATGAGAGATGAAGCTAGGGCCAGCACCTGGTTAGAGGAAGAAGTAGCAGGAGGACATGGGAGTATTCAGGGTGAAACAAATTGATGGCACATGGTGTCACAGAGGCCAAGGCTGCGTTACAGGGCCAAGGTCTTGCCTTCCTGGCAATGCGATGTACTGTATATAACAGAGGGAACCTGGTTGCTCTCTGTCTTCGTGATTGATGAGATGCGCCAGGAGGGAAGAACCAAAGCAGAGCATATATTCCCATTTAGAAAGGGGCTGTGGGCTCGTTAAGGTTAGGTATAGATACGGACTTTGGGTTCCACTGGGGAAGAGGGACATTAGTGAGGAAAATACCTGAACTCCAGATTTTAGGAAATATATAGCAACAATTTAGAAAAAATTCATGGACAACACTGAATATCTTTTTATGACAGGGTGACCAGTTGACTAGATTAAAGGAAAAACCCTAGGGGCAGGGACTGCCTATTTACAGTAATAGGACAGGCTCTGGCAGTTGCCCACAGGACAAAGTTTGCCCTCATTGGCTCTGCCAAACATTCCTACATTCCTGGCTCTTTGCGTTAAAGGTGCCAGAAGGTGGCTGTAAGACAAGAGTAACCGGGAGGGGATTTCACTAGTTCCTTATTTTTACTGATCCCTTCTATAATTCTATATTGTTATCAGCCATTAATGCCTGTTCTTGAATTAGTCGATCAGACAAGGCCTAGTCTAGAAAGGGGCCCTGAGAAAACTGAGCATAGAGGTTGAAAAGGAGGAGTCTAAAGTTTGGGCTGGACTGGAGCCATGTCTGGGTAAAGTTCCCCAGTGGGAGACCCTGGATGGCCAAAAATGGGCTGAGAGTAATGGGTGCCTGAGATAATGAGGACTGGAAATAAACGTAAGAGTTTTCCTTTAGCTTATTTTACTTGACCTTTGATAGGTACAATTTAGCCTGAGCTAGCCCCGTTGGTTCGCATTCAATCCCCTGGGAGCTGTTAAAATTGTTCTTGAGGCCAATTAAATCAGAATCTCTGGGTGGGAGCCAGGCATCGGTATTTTTACAGCTTCCCAAGAGGTCTGTGTGCAGCCACAGATGAGAAACTTTGAGCTAATCTTTTTCTTAGAGGCTAATTTGTCCCAGGGCCCTGGTGGCACAGTGGTTAAAAGCTCGGTTGCTAACCAAATAGTTGGCAGTTCGAATCCACCAGCTGCTCCTTGGAAGCCCTGCGGGGCAGTTCTGCTCTGTCCTATAGGGTTGCTATGAGTCGGGATGGACTTGACAGCAACGGGTTTAATTTGTCCTAGTATCAAAATGGCAACCCTGGCGGCAGCGTGGTTAAGTGCTGGGCTGGCAGTTGGAATCCACCAGGTGCCCCTTGGAAACTCTACGGGGCAGTTCTACTTTGTCTTATAGGGTCGGGGTTGCTATGAGTCGGAGTCCAATCGATGGCAATGGGTTTGGTTTTGGTTTTAGTATCAAAATACAACTATTTAAATAGTCATCATGATAAGCTTCTTTGTTACATAAAGAAAACAGATTCATGTGCAGCTGGGAATTTCGTTCTTCTATAGTCTTTCCTTTGCATTTTTTTTTTTTTTTGAGAGAATTCAAAATTCTCATTGAATTGATGTTCCTTTTTAATGTTTCCAATCTCTTAGTTCAGTGTTTATTACCCTGGCTCATATCAAAATCACTTGAGGGAATTTGTAAAAATTTCCTCTTTACGTTCCACAAAAAGTAAACCACTCCTGCTTGGAGTTAGCCATAGGTCACCTGCATGGAAGGTGCATTCATCATGAGAAAGGAAGCCTGTGCTCCGTACCACACAGGTGGGAAGTTGCTGGGCCCAATGGAAGGACAGTCCTTCCCAGTTCTTCCTCCTCCCTATTTCAGGAGAAATAATCCTACTTGGGGAACGTAGCAAGTTTGAGAATGAATGAAATTGGACTGTATTCAATAAAATCCTTTTTTTATATAATTCATTCTGTTATGACAATGAATAAAATATCTCATTGTTTAATTCTCAGCCACACTGTAGATTCTGGGAGGGGGAGGGACAATGTACTGTATACACTTTTCTTACATTTGCTGCAGAGTTCAGCATCCTCCTTGGTCTACAGTAGGCAATAAACACTTGTAGAAACCCTTTGCCATCGAGTTGATTCCGACCTATGGTGACCCTATAGGACAGAGAAGAACTGCCCCATAGGGTTTCCAAAGAGAGGCTGGTGGATTCTAACTGCTGATCTTTTGGTTAGCAGCTGTAGCTCTTAACCACTGTATCAGCAGGGTTTCCAGCGATTGCATAAGAGAGCAGGAAATGTGTGTCTGCCAGTCAGGAGGAAATGTTGTGGGGTGGAAGCTTGAGTGTCTTTATCTTATGGACAATATTAGCTAAGGCAAAGAGCAGGAGTTCACACTTTTAGAAGGTGTGGCTTTGTAAAAGCCATTTTGAACATGATACAGCAGATAGAAATATTTTCTTTTTTGCCATATGACTCTACAGGGCAGCTTCCTGGCTCCATTCTTTAGGCAAGTAAAAGACTCTTTGGAAGTGACCAAATGCTTGACAAGATAATTTCGGCTCCTTCTTGAAAGCTCCCTCTAAACTCCTCTGAGCTGGCATTATGAAGAAGGCACTGTTTGTTAACATCACAGTTTTTTCATTGCTTTCTACACAAGCACAATGAAAAATATTGGAAAATTTGTGTATGTGCTTGTCAGTATGTGGTGGTTTAGAAATTACAAATAATATTCTTCCTATTGACAAGGTAGAAACTCTATGCCTTCTTGTCTAATAATTTACTTTTTGGTTTCTGGAGTTATTTAAATTATTTGACTTGTCTGTGGGAAATCATAGAATCAGGCTTGTTGTGTCATTTTAGAAAACTGCTAGAAGATAATTGAAATAACTAGGTAGCTCAAGGCGATTACTGACTGATATTAAGCAGCTTTCGGGTGCTAGGCACGGTGTAGGGCACTGGGGAAATAAAGATAAATAAGACACAAAGTCCTCGACACTCACAGTCTAGATGATGTCCGTGTTGAATGCTGTTGAGAAGGACCAAGTTCTGTTCTTCATTCGTCATGTCTGTTACAGCCACTATTCCTTCCGTTTTCCATTGCTGCTACCTGAGGCTAGTTCCTGATAGTTTTATGCCTGGATTGCTGTAATAATTCCCTACTGACCTCCTTTTTCCTTTATTGTCTTGCCCCTGGTTTTCCTTCAGTCTAGTCAGGTGGTCGGTCCCGAGCGTTGTTGCCATATTAATCTACATATAATTAATAAATGCCACTCCCACTCAAAAGCCATCAGCAGTTCCCCCACCTTGCATTTTTGCTAAGCCCTTCTTGCATTTTTGCTAAGCCCCTGTCCACTTTTCTAGCCTTGCTCTGCTGCTCTTCATCAACCCCACGTTCTAGCCAGACGGGTCTTCTTTATCAACGTCTGAATTTGCTTTGTGCATTCCCAATTTTGCTTTTTGGTTATCAATTGTCTTCCCTCCTCTTTCTTGCATGTCTAAATCCTGTGTGTCCCACATGGGTTAGTGGAGGTCTTTATGAAGCTTTCTTTGACAACCAAAGCCCACAATTACACATCCCTTATTTAATTCCTTTGAAACTCATTATTTATACAGATTATTTGATTTTAGCATTTGCTATTTTATATTTACACATAAATTATAAACTCTTGAAGAGCAGGGCCATGTCTTAAACCTCTTTGTATTCTTCGCATTGCCTCACATGGGATGTTGTGCATAACCAGGAACCAGTTGACATCAAGTTGATTCTGACTCAAGGCGACCTCATGTGTGTCAGAGTAGAACTGTGCTCCCTAAAGGGTTTTCAGTGTCTGATTTTTTGGAAGTAGATTGGCAGGTCTTTCTTCTGAGTTGCCTCTGAATAGACTCAAACCTCAAACCTTTCGGTTAGCAGCCGAGCATGTTAACCATTTACACCACTCGGGACTCCAGTTGTACATAGGGTTGAGGCTTGATTCTCCTGAAGTTATATTTCGTCTTTTCTTTCAATTCAGCAAAGAATATTATATAGCAACTACATGACAAAGTGACGTTAAGAACTCATCATTCCTTTCCTTTTGTTGATCCTGGATACAGGGCCATAGGAGGAAAAACTGGAAAGTGAGGAAGTTCGTTCTGAGAGAAGATCCTGCATACCTGCACTACTACGACCCTGCAGGGGTGAGATTCTGTGGTCGACAAATTCATTCAACTAGAAGCCTCCACTGCATTTATTAGCTGGGCTACCATTCTTCTTTCTGTTCTGCTGATATCCTTTTTCACTTTTCACCCTCCCACTTCTTAATTTCCCCTCCTCCCTTCTCATTGCAATGAGCCGAGATCTTAGGCCTTTGAGGCCAACATAAGCTCATGTAGGAAAGAAAATGCCACTGTATTGTAATTTGTTTAGTCAACACAATTTTTTTTTTGTTTGCCCCAATCTGATATTTTCAGGGGTACTATGTAGTCTTAACACTTATTCTTAGTTTAATATGCACAAAAGCGATGAATTCCTCTCCCAGGCCAATTTGGATGAGCACATTGCTTACTTAAGACTGCCCTTTGGGTTTTGATTATTTAGTAGCAGGATTTTCCTCAACAAAATAAGACAACTCCGTAAAGATGACTCTGTCTGAGTCGGGTTCTCAGCCTTTGCTCTCAGCGCAGGGCTCTTTGATTCCCTCCTAGGAGGATTATACTGCTATATCAGTTGCATGGAACTGAAGAGATCTGAAAACATGTAGTTGTCTTTTAGCGGGCTAATGGGATGTGGTGACTGCAGCCTCTCTAGCTCCCCTGCTATTTCCTCCAGATGTGAAGCCCAGATTGATTTGGGTCTTCTCCTTCTACCTCCCTGACCCCACTAAAGTGGAGCGTTGAGGATGTGGAAGGACTGTAGATCTAGAGCAGGTTTCCTTTGATCTCCTTCTGCTCTTATTTATTCTGGGGGCCTGATCTATACCAGAGTAGGTCCGTGTGGCTTCTGCACCAACAGGATGAGGTATATCCATACACTGTACATTGAAACATGAGGAACAACTCTCTCTCCTCTAGGGGGAAGAACCCCTGGGAGCGATTCACCTGAGAGGATGTGTGGTGACTTCAGTGGAGAGCAACTCAGATGGTAAGAATAAGTTTCTACTTTCTTTCGCAAGTAGGGATTCTGAGCCAACAGCAGTCAATCAGATACCAGTGTGAACAACTTTACTGTCTGAAAACCTGGGAGATATCAAGAGTTATTCTGTCCCAACTCCTGGCTCTCTAGGCCTGGGGGATTTGGAGTGGCTTTGTGGATACCTTGAGTAAATCCTTGAGCAATGCTGAGAAAAACCCATCACCTCAGAACTGGTTTAGATGGAGAGCTTATTATCTCCTGACTTCTGTAATTGAGCAGCTGCATTCTTTAAAGCAGGTCTTTTACATACCCAGGCCGGGAAATCTCCCAAGACAAAAGGAACTTTGGTGCAGTGAGGCAGTTTTGTGGGTGGAAAGAGCACCGGGGTTAGAGTTGGGTCTGTGCTAGTAAGTTAGCTGTACAACATGAAGCAAACCACCTGACTCCTCTGGGCCTTCGTTCCTCCTCTAAGAATGAGTGGGTGGCACTAGAGGACCTTCCTGTCGCTTCCAGAGCACCAGTCTATGATTTGGTGCAAGGAATAACCATGTTTATGAAGATTGACTTCTCAGGTGCTGGTGACAAGTGGTATTGCTGGGGAGATGTGGTTTAAACATTCCAAACCCTGGTTTCGTCATGCTATGTTAGGTGTATGGTGTTCTGTAGGAGCCCTGGTGGTGTAGTGGTTAAGAGCTTGGGCTTCTAACCAAAAGGTCGGCAGTTGGAGTTTCCCAGCCGCTTCTTGGAAACCCTATGGGGCAGTTCTATTCTGTCCTATAGGGTTGCTATGAGTTGGGATCAACTTGATGACAATGCGTTTGTTTTGGTTGGTGTTCTAGAGGTGGAGCTGGAGCTGCAAAAGCCTGGAGTTTTAGAACCCTTGATTCTGCCCACACCCCTTTCCCATAGGATTATGTTTTAGTTTCGGGAAAGGGAGCATATTGCTTTTTAATTTGAAGTAAACATTTAAGTCTTGTCATGGTATTAGCTAGCTTATTGTCTTTTACATTTTAGTAGAGACTCTAACTTAGCCCTTGATAAAAACCAGTTCAGGCTATAATGATAGCAGTGGTGGGGGGTCTGGGGCTTCCCCCATCCCCAGTGTATTAGGGTTAGCTCTTGGTTTAGAGTATTAGCAGAGAAAGAAGGGGGTTACTTTGTTAAACACTATTGGTGTTTAAGTTTATAAGTTTGCTAATAAATTATGAAAAGAAAATGTTTCTCCTTGAGGGTTTTACTTGATTTCTGAAAACTACATATATATATAAAAATCTAGGTATATATGATCATCTTAGCTATCTATATGAATGCTATATATATGTATAATCATATAATAGATATGATCATACAATATGATCATACATACATATAATAGATATGATCATACATTTGAAAACCACGTAATTTTTTTCTTATTACATTCTTTTTCTTTTGATCAAAGTACAATATACATGCAGAAAATAGTACATGTTGTAACAGTATGTCTTCATGAATGTTCACCAAGTGAACACACTCGTATAACCAGGCCTAGAAGATCAAGAAATGGGTTATCATCAATACCAAAATGCCCCATTTGTGCTCTCCTCCAGCCACTATCCCTCCTCCTGACATTTAACAGCATCAACTGGCTTCGCTTGGTTTCGTTCTTTATATAAACCAAATCATACAGTATGTGCTCTTGAAAACCATATAGTTAATGTACTTAGAGCATTTGAGAAACCAGGATTTCATTACTTGCAGAGGGAGGGTGGACCAGGTGGCCCTCGGGCATCTGTGGGCACTATCATTCACTGTCTCTCTCACCAGGCAAGAAGAGTGATGAAGAGAACCTTTTTGAGATCATCACAGCTGATGAGGTGCACTATTTCTTGGAAGCGGCCACCTCCAAGGAGCGCATCGAATGGATCAAAGCCATCCAGCTGGCCTCCCGGACTGGGAAGTGAGGGCACGCCTGCAGCTTCTCCTCACCCACCCCGAGGGAACCTCCCAGATACCCTCGCTCCAGCAGCTATCCACTTCTGTGAAGAATCAATGAGAAAGGGCCCAGGGGTGGGAAGTTATCTCCTGCAGGGGATTCTGAATGTAATTAACCATGTGCTGGAAGTTCACCTGCACAGCATTGCTCACCGAAACTCTTTGCCCCTCCTCATGTGCCCCAAGCAGAAAAAGCAGGCTGTGTGGTCTGGGTGGGCTGCTCTCCCTCTCCAGGACTCAAGTCTCTTCTGAAAAATGCAGTTGAACTGGGAGATCTCTGAGGTCCTTCCACTTAAAAGACAAAATGCCCTATGATTCTAATACCCATGGAGGTTAAGTGCCTCCAGTTGTCCTGTTGGGGCCCTTCTTTGGCTAAGTTTTGGCCTTAACCTGTCTCCACCTGTGCCAGAACACGTTTTCAAGTCTTGTCACAGTATTGGCTAGTTTATTGCCTTTTGATTTTTCAGAGACTCTAACTTAGCCCTTGATACATACCAGTTCAGGCTATATTGGTAGTACTGGTGGTGGGTCTCTTCCCTTTAGAACAATGTTGCAGATCTGCACTAAGAGTATTAGGCATAAACCTCCTCTGCTCTCTTTAGCTGTCTTCCACTTGCTCTTGGCCATGACTCTTGGCCGCAGGATCAAATGAAAAAATGGAGAACTCTCTTCTTCCTTCCTCATCCTACCAAGAAACTTCCTGAGAGCCAACACTGAAGTGATGGGTTTTAGGTTTACACTTTTGGTCACTTACCTTAGCTAGAAAAGTCATGTCTTCTGAGAAAAAGACCCGAGGAAGCCAGAAGTAGTGAGGGTCTTTTTCCACATGTAGAAGCCACTGAGAGCACTTCATATTCCACTTCTATTGAGGCTGATCTAAGAGGGGGTCTCTCTTTGTCCCTTTTGGGAGCATTTCTCTACAGTTCATTATCATTAAGAGAGGGGACCTCAAATCTGCGGGATTCTGTCTTATTTGAGGGTTTAGGGGGAAAAAAAAGCCAGATGGGTTCTCTCCATGGGTGAGGGGCCTAAGCATCTGGCTGGCTAATGTGTCCCCGAGCCCTAGAGGGTAGAAGACTAGATTGCAGGTCAGCTGACCGGATGCTGAGTTTATACAAAGATGGTACTGAAAGGACTCTAGACAGAGTTTGTGGTGGTGGCTATCAGCCTGTGGAGCACCTTCGACTCTCCGGTTAGTGATATTGTGGTCTGTACCTGAGCTTTTAAGCACTAGCTATAACAGCTTTTTCTTGGGCTCTGAGGGGCCCCATGGCCCCATTTTCTGACATGCCACAATGATCTGACCTGGATTCAAATTCAGGACTACTTTCCAGTTGTTGATCTTATCTACAAACTAGTGATTCTTCTCCAAAACTGAGGAAGATGGCACCCATAGAACCAGTTATATGGGTGAAGATATATTTTTCAACTCTAGATTTTAAATTTTAAGGCCACAGTGAGGAAAAACAGGCAAACCACTTGCCAATGAGTCAGTTCCAACTCATGGTGACGACGTGTATGTCAGAGTAGAACTACGCTCCATAGGGTTTTCAAGGCTGTGATCTTTTGGAAGTAGATTGCCAGGCTTTTCTTACGAGGTGCCTCTGAGTGGATTTGAACCTCCAAACTTTTAGTTAGTAGCTGAGTGCTTAACCATTTGAATCACCCATGGAGAACATTGCTCCTGATTTTGTTGGCTCTTTTCTTTCCCCTGCTCATTTCCACACGACATTCCTGAGGCTATTTCTACTTACTCCCAGATTGTCTTATTGGTGGCCTAGAGATACAGGATTATCTTTTTTTTTTCTTTTTTCCTGGTTATTTCATAAATTTTCTTCTTACAACATGCACAGTATTTGCCTACATTCAGTGTTAAAAGTATTTATTAATATGGAGTCAATCTTATGTTTTGAAATAAACATGACTGTTTTTGGTGTCCTTTTGATGTGATAACTCTGATGTTTTGCCTCTCATTAAAGACTCACCTTTTCTACAACTCACTTTCAGTTACTGAGAATAACACCACCTCTTACCTTGCAAATCATCCCGATGGCTTTATGATTTTCTATGACAAAGTCAATCTATTTTAGGGAAAAATAAAAATAGGGGAAAGAATAAGAACAGGGTTTAGGAAATATTTTGGAGGAATTAAGAAAGTATATATAAAGGAGGAAAATGTTTTCTTACTCCATGTAACTGACAGTAAATCAGAAAAATAAAGCATTCAATCTGAAAAAAATCTTTACATCTTATTGGGAGGAAAAAAGCATAGACAGAAGCATGTATAAACTAAAGATTAGAATCTTACACATAGGTGAAAAATACAGATTTAAAGAGAGATATTAACACACACACACACACAGTAGCTAAAATTCTACCATCAGAGGGTGGCTTTCAAAAGCAGAACTAAGAAGTTGCTTACATTAAAATAACCAAGTTTCTCAGTAGTGTTTGCTACTAGTCATTAGAAAGAAAGCTGAACAAAGTATCAATCTCATTTCTTTGGAGTCTGTGTGAAGGCTGGGGTATAGACAAAACCCTCCCTGCTGCCGCCACACCTCCCAGAGGATAAAAAGAAAATTATGAAAGTAATTAATATTTCAGGCCTATTTTGTGCTCTGTTTAGAATAAGAAGGTTAGTTGAGGAGAAGTTGGAGAGTGAAGGGTGAGGGAAAGAGAAATAAAGTTACACGAAAGTTAATTTAGCTTGTTGAAAAAATAAACTTAGTTCAAATTTATAGCTCTCAGTGGTTTTGGCTCAGGTTCAAGGTGAAGGAAGGTAAAATTTAGAAGTCACTGGAGGATAGAAAAGAGACTGGGAGGAGTCAGTTTTTATGATATCACATGTACTACTTTCCTTAATTTGAGCTGCAGTAAGTTTCAAGGAGATTGATCTTTATGTGTCCCATTTCATTTTTGACGACTTTTAATTTTCCTTGATTCATACTTCCTCCATTCCACGTTCCAATTACTAATGGATGTTTCCAGCTGTTTCTTCTCATTTTGAGTTGTGCCTCAACAACAAATGAAGGTCCTGAAAGCTTTACTCCATCCACATCATTAAGGTAGACTCTACTTTGAGGAGGCAACTCTTCCCCAGTGGTATTTTGAGTGCCTTCCAACCTGTGGGGCTTATCTTCCAGCACTATATCAGACAATATTCTACTGCTATTCATAAATTTTCACCGACCATTTTTTTAAGAAGTATATCACCAGGTCCTTCTTCCCAGTCTCTCTTATTCTGGAAGCTCCTCTGAAATCTGTCCACCATAGGTGACCCTGTGGGCATTTGAAATTCTGCTGGTGTAGCTTCCAGCATCACAGCAACACACAAGCCACCACATATGACAAACTAACAAACGAGTGGTGGAAGCATGAATCAAGGGGAATTAAAAGCCAACAAAAATGAAATGGGGCCAACATGGTGCTATAGACAGAAGCACCACGCTGTCCCTCCACAGCAAAGACCTGAAAAACTAAGTAAAACAGAGACAAATGTCAATCCTGGAAGCCTAAGCATCAAATGAAGAGATAAAGAACTCAACCAAGAACTGAGTGAAATAAGAAACTGACAGAGAACAGAGAGCAAGGAGAGATACCGGCGGAGGTCTCCTATCAGCTAACACTACATGGATTCACCATCTTGGACTCCTGCCGGAGATAGGCAGACAGGGAGTACGGGAAAGCAGCATCAGGGAGCTCCCAGCAGGAGACAGAGCACCCAGTAACCAGTGATACACTGTACCCTTCTTCCCTCTGCTCAGCCTCCACCTCTTTCCAGCAGGCTGAGCAACCTTGGACCAGGAGGTGACAGCTCCGTGTCTCACGGATTCACTCTGCGCACACCATCTGGCTCCTTCAGCGCCATTTCTTTGTTGCTGGTGTTGCTTTTTTCAGCTTCTTTTGGTTTCTTCCCTGCCTCTCAGCTCCTCCCCTTCCTTTCTCTGGAACACCTGGCTCTGTGTGCCATCTTTACTTCTTCTTGACAGGCTGTGAAGTGTCACTCAGCTAGGGAACTGTTTCCTTGGTCCTTGCCACCACACTGGTTGGATTCCTGGGGCCTTTTTGTTTGTTTGTTTTCTCCTTTTTGTTTTTCTTCATTTCTCAGTTTCAAGTCTCTCTCTACTAACCTTCTTTTTGTGTCTACCAAATACCTGGCACCATGTGCCATCTCTGCCCCTTCTAGCTGGGCTGTACTTTGAGCCTTGGGAGCCATATCCCCAGTCTGCACAGCCATGCTGGTGGAATCCCTGAGCGCATTTTTTTTCTTTTTTATTTATATACATATTTTTCCCTTTTCTTTTTTGTCTTTCTTCATTTCTCAGTTTCTCATCTCTCTCTACTTACCTTCTTTTCCTGTCTCCTGAAGACCTGGTGCTGTGTACCATCTCCACCCCTCCTAGCCAGGCTGTACTGCGTGGCTTGGGAGCCACATCCCTGCATGGTAGAATTTTGCAAGGCCAACAGCTTATTCATTGCAAATATCTTTTTTTAACAACATAAATGGAAACTAGACATTTGGATGGAATATACAGGAATCAGACTGACTACATCTGTGGAAAGAGACAATGGAAAACCTCAATATCATCAGTCAGAACAAAGTCAGGGGATGACTGTGCAATAGACCATCAATTGCTCATATGCAAGTTTAAGCTGAAGCTGAAGAAAATTAAAACAAGTCCATGAGAGCCAAAGTACAACCTTGAGTAAAACCCACCTGAATTTAGAGACCACTTCAAGAATAAATTTGACACATTGAACACTGATGACTAAATATAAGATGAGTTGTGAAATAACATCAAGGACATCATACATGAAGAAAACAAAAAACCAAAAAACCAAATCTGTTGCCCTCAAGTCAATTCTGACTCATAGCGACCCTATAGGACAGAGTAGAACTGCCCCATAGGGTTTCCAAGAAGTGCCTTGTGGATTTAAACTGCTGACCTTTTGGTTAGCGGTCGCTGCCCTTAACCACGAGACCACCAGGGTTTCTTGAAGAAAACAAAAGGTCATTTAAAAGACAGGAAAGAAAGAAGAGACCACAATGGATGTCAGAAAAGATTCTGAAACTTACTCTTGAACATAGAGCAGCTAAAGCGAACTGAAGAATGATGAAGTAAAAGAGCTGGACAGAAGATTTCAAAGAGTGGCTCTAGAAGACAAAGTAAAGTATTGTAATGAAATGTGCAAAACCTGGAGTTAGAAAACCAAAAAGGAAGAACACGCTCAACATTTCTCAAGCTGAAAGAACTGAAGAGAAAATTCAAGCTTCCAGTTGCAATATTGAAGAATTCTACGGATAAAATATTAAACTATGCAGGAAACATCAAAAGAAGATGAATGGAATACACATAGTCACTGTACCAAAAAGAATTGGTCAATGCGCAATCATTTCAGGAGACAGCATGTGATCAAGAACTGATGGTACTGAAGGAAGAAGTCCAAGATGTATTGAAGGCATTGGCAAAAAACAAGGTTCCAGGAGTTGATGGAATGCCCACTGAGATGTTAAAACAAATGGATACAATGCTGGAAGTGCTCAGTCATCTACGCCAAGCAATTTGGAAGGCAGCTACCTGGCCAACCGACTGGAAGAGATCCGTATTTATGCCTGTTCCCAAGGAAGCTGATCCAACTGAATGTGGAAATTATCAAACAATATCATTAATATCACATGCAAGTAAAATTATGCTGAAGATCATTCAAAAGCGGTTGCAGCTGTATATTGACAGGGAACTTCCAGAAATTCAAGCTGGATTCAGAAGAGGATGTGGAATGGGGACTGTCATTGCTGATGTCAGCTGGATCTTGGCTAAAAGCAGAGAATACCAGAAAGAAGTTTAACTGTGCTTTATTGACTATTCAAAGGCATTTGACTGGGTGGATCATAATAAATTATAGATAACATTGGGAAGAATAGGAATTCCAGAACACTTAACTGTGCTCATGAAGAACCTGTACATAGACCAAGAAGCAGTTGTTTGAACAGAACAAGGAGCTACTTTGTGGTTTAAAATCAGGAAATGTGTGTCAGGGTTGTATCCTTTCACCGTACTTATTCAAACTGTATGCTGAGCAAATAATCTGAGAAGCTGGACTATATGAATAAGAATGTGGCATCAGGATTGGAGGAAGACTCATTAACAGCTTGCAATATGCAGATGACACAACCTTGCTTGCTGAAAGTGAAGAGGACTTGAAGAACTTACTGATGAGGATCAGAGACTACAGCCTTCAGTACGGATTACACCTCAACATAAATAAAGAAAACAAAAATCCTCACAACTGGACTAATAAACAACATCATGATAAATGGAGAAAAGATTGAAGTTGTCAAGCATTTTGTTTTACTTGGATCTACAATCAACACCGATGGAAGCCGCAGTCAAGAAATCAAAGGACATATTGCATAGGGCAAATCTGCTGCAAAAGACCCCTTTGAAGTGTTAAAAAGCAAAGATATCACTTTGAGGACTAAGCCATGGCCTTTTCAATCACCTCATTTGCACGTGTAAGCTGGACAATGAATAAGGAAGACCAAAGAAGAACTGATAGCTTTGAATTGTGATGTTGGTGAAGAATATTGAATATACCATGGACTGCCTGAAGAACGAACAAATCTGTCTTGGAAGAGGTACAGCCAGCATGCTCCTCATAGTCTAGAACAATCTCTGCTCCCTGTCTCTCAGACTATCACATTGTTTATTGTCGTTGTTAGGTGCCGTTGATTTGATTTCGACTCATAGCGACTCCATGTGACAGAGCAGAACTGCCCCTTGCGGCTTTCTAGGCTGTAATCCTCGTGGGAGCAGATTGCCAGGTCTTTCTCCTGGGAAGCTGCTGAGTGAGTTCGAACCACTAAGCTTTTGGTTAGCAGCCAAATGCTTAACTGTTGCACTACCAGGTCTCCTCACATTCTTACTCCTCTTTAAAGGTCCAGTTTAATGCCT